ACCTAAGCTTCTAAGAGGCCATCTCTCCACCAAGACAGGCTAGAAATAGAACCTGTTTTGCCTTCAGACAGACGTTCGGAGGTGGTCTGAGGATCTTTCCCATCCCCTAAAAATCTAGATTATATACTCTACATCTTTTATTCCAGCATCATAGGGTTAAGAGAACATGTATCTCCATACCTGTTTTAAATTAAACATAGTATCAGTTCAACCACTGTTAAAAAGAAGTGGGAAGGGAAGAGATCTAATACATTATACACAACCATTAATTCCATTTCGATGGAAAGTATCCAGTCTATTATTTTGATTACTGGCACTCATTAAATATGTTTTCTATATAAATTTCAGGGAACTAAAGCAAGTAAGGATGCTATACTGGGGGCAATCCCACATCCTGCTAAGTTGGTTTTTATAATAATAATATGTGTTTGGCTTCCTAAAATAGGCATAAACGGCCTGATTTAGATCTATGCTATTTATTTCCACAGAGAAAGAACCTCAGAACTCTTAAACTACAATAGGTTATCTTGTTTTTTTACACCTCTTGTGATGAAGAAGGAAAAATACAAGATACCAGGGCAAAAGGAGGAAGATTGAGCTTAATTACAAAGATTTAAAAGCAGAAAAATTCACACAGTGGCTTGTTAGAAAAAGAACACTTTCTTCCTTTCATCTCAAGGCAAACCACTTCATCTACCATGAAGCATAAATACTGTGTTCTTCCTTTAAAAAATTTTTGTTAAAGTTAGATCTTTTTTTACTAAAACAATCTGGAATCTTAGATAATCTTGTAATCTGCAAGTCTTCCTAACATTTGTACAATCTGAACAGTCGACTGCTATTCAAAGCCACTAAAAGAACTAAATAGCTATTAAAAACTATTAATTCATAGTTTTCTCAAAAGAAAACTTCACAATGAAATGATACTTTAACAGAACATTTCTAAATTACAATTTTTCTAAATCCTTTTGAAGGGGAGAAATCTTAAGTGATAGAACAAAAATAAACAAAACTGTATCATTCATTTACCATGTTTAACGATCCAGTGTACATTACTTCAGAGCAGAGATTTACAATGCACAATCAACACACTGAGTTACCCATGATTAAATATGCCAAAGTCTTAATTATAATACCACTTTACATGTGTATAGAACTGTCCAGTTGGCAAAGCACTAATATCCATAAACTCATTTGACTCTATAGGTCTATCAATTTAAATACAATAGATATGAGTCCATTTGGATAAGAAAAGCCATGTACTAAAATGGTTAAGAGCATGGAATTTGAAGCCAGCTATCTGGTTTCAAATTCCAGCACTGCCACATACTAGATACATGATTCTGGTACATTACCCAACATTTCTGTGTCTTAGTTTCATCATCTATAAAATGGGGATAACAATCATTTCTACCTCTTGGGCCCACTAAGGACTAAATCAATTAATATATGTCAGACACTTAGAATAGCATCTTTCAACCAGTACATATTACACATGCTGGATGTACTTAGTGCAGTATCATTGTATGTATAGAGAAACAAGCTAGTTAAGTCACAGAGCCAGAAATAAAAACCAGATCTTCTTTTCTTTGATGCTCTATCCACAGAGAGCTGGGTTATTTTCTTAAGTATCCTTAAGGTTTTCTAGACTGATGTAAAGAGCTTAATGTGGAATTGTACAAATCAAAAAATTCAGCAGCTCAAAACATTTATAAAGTTGTACTGTAATCTGTTTATCTATATATATTTAAGTCAAACTGATTATTAAAAAAGCAAATATTCCATTTTGAGGACAGAACTGTACACTAAGGAATAGCAACTGTGTTGCTATATTTATAAAACAAAATGCTTGTTTCACTTTTCAAAAGACCAAAAAGGCAATAAAGCCTATCATAACATGTTACTATAATGATCATTACTTCAATTTATCAAATTTTAAAAATCTAGAAGTAAATATACAAATGATATATTGTATCATTGATCCTAATGACTATATTAGGATCTCCTTTTCTTTCCCCTGGTTTTCAAAACATTCAGTATTATGATACAACATTCATAATTTTAAAAGTGATTTCCAAAACAAGTTTATCAAGGACTAAAAATAGCACTGATAAAAGAAACATTTAAAAATAATTCTAGAAAATAAAAGATGCCCATCTGAAAAACTATCCTCTTTTTTCAAACATATTTTAGGTGTCTCTCCTCAGACTTTGTTTGAACTTTTCCCTTTAGTGATTTAGGTGACTGTGATAACATCTTCCCTGTATCTAAAAATAGGGCATGGGTGTGTAAATTTATGAGCTGAAATGCAAAACTGACGCTGGATGTCTAAATAAGAGTATTAAATCATTTAGCATACTCTAGTATAAAAAAATAATATCGATTTTAAGCACTGGTATCTACATGCTTTGTATATAAATATAATTTTAATTCAGTCATCTTTAACCTTTTCATATGAAGTGAAAAATGTGAAGTCACAACTTTTTAAGACATTCTTAAATATGCCAAGTGACTTTTTCAGAGATTAACTTGGACAAAGCACTCCTTCACTCCAGGCCTCAGGTTAGGCCTCAGGTTCCTTCTTTGAATAAGAATGGACTACTGCATCAGTGGTTCTCAACCTTCTTTCCACTCCAATCCATCTAGGGGATTCCCTATTTCTCCATTTGCAGCAGTGGGGACAGTCTGAAAATGTCCCACAGTTATTTCTGATACACTACCCTGGAAGGTGGCCCCCCTCCCCTGCCCTCCACTCAACTCCAAACTGCAATTCTCTGAGGTTCCTCACAGCTTTAAGGTCTGACACTTTAGGTACAAGAAATGCACAACTCAATGACCTGGAAGGTATCTGACAGTTATTTTAATATATTTAAAAAGAAAGGCCATAAGTTAATATGTATCTTCTTTCCTTGGAATATGCAGGATTCAGATACGAATTTATATACCAATGATACCAAAGAAGACTTTGTAACTGTTCATAAGGCAAACAGCACACCTTACTTGGAATTGGCTTTTAATCAAGAAGGTGTGAAAAGTAGAAGTGGAGAATCAAACAAAATAACACTCCTTAAAGTTTGAAGGAATGATATGAACATGTGATTAGTGGAAAGGAGATTTGTGCAAGTCAACTTTTCTGATAACAGAAAAGGAAAGCCAAAGACTGGCATACAGAGATCGGATGTTATGGGATCCTCAATTTATTCTCCAAAATATCAATTTGTTACAGGCCTAAATCAATTGTATGTGATTTTTTTTTACCAGACAATTCTGTTATAAACTAATAACAGCTAATAAAAATATGATTTGAGTGTATTCCAGATTATAGATATAAGCCAAATACATTGGTTCAGCATGATGACTGACAATTGCCCAGCAAATAGTGTCCATTTTCTTTGAATGCCTACTTACTGTGGACAAATTCTACATTATTTAAAACCTATTTTATAAGCCAAGTCTTGTGAAGAATTCTCCCAAGTAGGAAAGAAGGAAATGGAATTTTAAAACTTCTTTGGAACATGTGTATTTTTCAAATCAAATGTAAGCCAAGATTACATATTATTAATAAGCATACAAGGCATAGCAAAGATGCTGATTAGGGCTTCAAAATTAGGGTAATTTTGAATGTGTAATTGCATTATCTTCAAATCAGAAAACAATCAATAATTGGGGATTGTTAGCTTTATGTTTTATAGTGAGAGGACCCTCAAATGGTATACGTACACACACAAAAACCAGGATTCTACAAATTCAATGTTTGAAGAAAAACAACAAAAAAGGCTGGACCTGGAAGTTGCTGTCCTCTGTACCAGAAGATGACACCAGTACTGACGGAGAACACAATGTATATATTTCCATCAGTTCATGCCTTAAAAGGTTAATAAATATTTTCTGTAGCATTGATTTCTTCCCAAAATTATTTATAAGACAGCTGTCTGTTATTGGCTTAACTTGCTGAAACACCTCCCCATTTAAAAATAAATTCTCAACGTTCTCCATATAACTATAAACCTTTTTAAAACTTGTGTCAGTGAACAGACCCATAACCCAACAAGAAATAAAAGTGAACAGAAAAAAAAAATGCCCCAACCTCAATTTTGTAAGATGTTCACATCTGAAACAGTAGCAATACAGTATTATGCAAGAGAAGGCAATCCTTTGGGATGGATAAATATTTGTTGAATGAATATACACATTTCCTCCTCATTCTATACTCATGTGTCAAAGCATCAAACAACTTAAATTGTGGCAGTTTCTGTTGTGTCTCGAACTTTATATGTAAGTTTATCATGAGGGGAAAAAAAAACCTGTTTGGCTTGACTCACGATGAATCACAGCCAGGAGGTCATCTTGTTGTGTATCAGCAACTATGTTTTCACTACAGCTATGTGACCTGAAGTGGCAGCAGAAGAGGCACCAAAATAGAAGACACAAGAGGCTTCTCCTGGCTTCTGGGCCCCAAATGGGCTTTTCCAGCCCGTTCGGGGATCTGAGCAGAAGCCAACCGCAGAGGACAAGAAAAAACCCACAGCACCGAGGAGAAAGGCTGCAGGCCCACCACACCTTCCTTGCCCTCTCCGGGAGCCCGGGGAAGCAAGAACATAAAAGAAAGGGCTTAAGAAACGGCATGGAGAAAACACAGCATGACAGGGGCCACAACTAGACCAGTGCAGGGCAAAATCCAGTAGTTACTGTGAAGAACAGATTTTGGGAAGGTCTGGAGCCGGAGGAGGATCTCCACCCAGGGACTCCCGGAGCAGCTCCGGCGCGAGCTCACAGCGGGGCCCCCGCCTCCAAGTCCGTCGGGCCACCCGGGACCTGCCCCTGCTCCCACCTCACCTGTCCAGTGCCCGCTGGCCCCGCCGGCATCTCCGGCCCCCTGCTCCCCGCCCACCGGCCCCTTCTGTGGCCTCCCGGCGCGTCTTTCGCGACCATCGCCGGGGTCAGCGTGGGCAGGGAGCCGAAGCGCGCCCGGTCGCCCCAGGCCTGGCCCGGGCACTCACTTTCTGAATCCTCTTCAGCGCCATGGGTCAGGGAGGGCGGCGGGGACACCAGCCGGCTGGGGGCAGCTACGGGGCGCGAGGGGCGTAGGGTCGTCACGGGCTCGACTCGCTCACTGCTCGGCCGGCTCAGCCCGACGGGTCGTCGGCTCGCTGCTCGCTGGCTCGCTGGCTCGCTCCGGGCGCCGGTGCCTGCTCGGTGTGCGCCCGAGCGCGAGTGTGCGCGAGTGTGAGGGCGGGGACGCCGGCGAGACTCTTTTGTTTCCGCTTTTGCTTCTGGGAAGGAGCCTGCGCCCTCCCTGCCCGCGCCCCGCCCCGCCCCGCCGGGCACACTGGGAAGTGTAGTTCCAGCCCTGTCCCCGGCCGGCCGCCCCGGGCGACGTCGGCTTACTCACCGCTGACTTCAACCCCAGCCCGGATTCAGAACTGTGCGGTCATGAGTTGGGTTTCTGCAGTTTGATTTTGACCAAATTATGAACTTGAAGGGCCCAATCTGTAAAATAGGGATACCAAATTAGCTCGTAAAACACAGGGATCTCCAATAGAATTTCCAATACAGCCATCCTGCTATTTTTACTTCTGTGGAGTTCACTGTCTTCTCAAAAATGTAAATCGCCTAAATTGCTCACAAATGCAGAGAGACATACCAATTATGACTCCTTACTTACCTCCTTAGTTCCTATTTCAAAAGGTACCTCCTCTACCCACTGCTAATCCTGCATGTCTGCTTCTCCTTGGAACTCCAAACTCATATTCGCCGTCACTATAGGCTCCATCCCTTCCTTTCACAGTACCTACTCAATACTCACACTCCTCACTGCATTCTTATGATCTGTGTGCTCATTAGAACTTGGCTTCTTTCAACACAACCAGAACCAGTTTTCACCAAAGTCACGCTTGAACTTCTAGTTAACTGAATCCAATTCACTCCTCACCCTTTCTGATGTTTTTGAACCATTTGACAACTGACCATCATTTTGGTTTTCAAAACATAACTGACACTATCTTCCATAGCACCACAGTAACTGGGTCCTAAACTTCTCTGAATTTCCTTTTTCTGTCACTAGCTCCTCTTCTCAAGAGCTGGAGTGTCTCAGAATCCCAAGCCTTGATCTCATCATCAATATCTTCCTAGAAAGGGGATCCCTGGGTGGCGCAGCGGTTTGGCGCCTGCCTTTGGCCCAGGGCGCGATCCTGGAGGCCCGGGATCGAGTCCCTGCTTCTCCCTCTGCCTGTGTCTCTGCCTTTCTCTCTCTCTGTGACTATCATAAATATATAAAATTAATATATATATATATATATAAAATATCTTCCTAGAAAGTAGACCTCCTGTGGACTCTGATAAACTGGGAGGCTGCCCCAGGGTGGATGGAGAAGTATGGGCTTTGTAGACTGATCCCTTTGATCGCTACCAACTGTGTGACCACGGCTAAGCCACTTTAAACTCTCTAAGCCTCAGTTCCTTCATCTGTCAAATAGATATAATAATCCCTAGATGTATAAAAATTAATTGGTGTTAAAATTTATAGTGCCAGTAACTAATATGTTGGAAGTTTTCTATAAAAATTACTTTCCTTTGAGAGAACAAACATTGTTAAAATGTCTATTCTACCCAAAGCAATCCATACATTTAATTCATTCCCTATCAAAATACGACCAGCATTTTTCAGAAAACTAGAACAAAAAACCCTAAAATTTTGTATGGAACCACAAAAGACCCCAAATAAAGCAATCCTGAAAAAAGAAAAGCAAAGTTGGAGGTATCATAGTTCCACTTTCAAGTTGTATTACAAAGCTGTAGTGATCAAAACAGTATGGTATTGGCACCAAAAGAGACACATAGATCAATAGAACAGAATAGAAAATCAGAAATAAATCCAGTTTATAAAAAAGCAGGAAAGAATATCCGATGGAAAAAAAGACAATCTCTTCAACAAATGGGTCTGGGAAAACTGGACAGCAAGATGCAAAAGAATGGAACTGGACCACTCTCCTACACCATACATAAAAATAAATTCAGAATGGGTTAAAAATCTAAATATGAGACAGGAAACCATCAAAATCCTAAAATAGAACACAGGCAGTAACCTCTTTGACATCAGTTGTAGTAACTTCTTATTAGATATGTGTATTCTGAGAGGGAAACAAAAGCAAAAATAAAGTATTGAGACTGTATCAAAATAAAAATCTGCACAATGAAGGAAATCATTAATAAAACTAAAAGTCAACTGGGACACCTGGGTGTCAACTGAGACACCTGGGTGTCAACTGAGACACCTGCTGAACACCTGTTCAGCAATTGAGTGTCCGTCTGCCTTTTGCTCAGGTGTCCTGGGATTGAGTCCCACATAAGGCTTCCTTCAAGGAGCCTACTTCTCCCTCTGCCTATATCTCTGCCTCTGTGCATCTCTCATGAATAAATAAACAAATATTTTTTAAACCCCAAAAGTCAACTTACTGAGTGGGAGAAGATATTTTCAAATGACATACCCAATAAAGGGTTAGTATCCAAGATATATAAAGAACTTTTAAAACTCAACACGCCAAAAATAAGTAACCCAGTTAAGAAATGATCAGAAGACATGAACAGACATTTTTCCAAAGAAAACATTTAGATAATCAACAGACACATGGAAAGATGCTCATCACTGGGTGTTATATGTAAAGGATGAATCACTAAATTCTACTCCTGAACCAATGTTACATTATGTATTAAGTAACTAGAATTTAAGTAAAAATTTGGGAAAAAATGGAAAAGATGCTCATCATCACATTATCAGGGAAATGCAAATCAAAGCTACCATGAGATATCACCTCATACCTGTCAGAATGGCTAAAATCAACAATCCAAGAAACAGCATGTGTTGGTGAGGATGTGGGGAAAAAAGGAACTCTCTTGCACTATTGATGGAATTGCAAACTGGTGCAGTCACTGTAGAAAACAGTATGGAAGTTCCTCAAAAAGTTGAAAATAGAACTACCTTCTGGTCCAGCTATCACCTTACTTGGCATTTATCCAAAGAAAATGAGAACAGCAATTCAAAGGGATACATGTGCCCCTATCATTATAGCACCATTATTTACAATAGCTAAGACATGGAAGCAGCCCAACTGTCCATCGACTGATGATGAATGGATAAAGAAGAGTTTTTATATATATATATATATATATATATATATATATATATATATGAATATTATTCAGCCATAAAAGAATGAATCTTGCCATTTGCAATGACATGGATGGAGCTAGAGTTTATAATGCTAAGGGAAATAAATCAGAGAAAGACAAATACCATATAATTTCACTTATGTGGAATTTAAGAAACAAAACAATCAAGCAAAGGGAGAAATGAGAGAGAAATCAAGAAACAGACTCTTAATTTTAGGGAATAAACTGATAGTTACCAGAGGGGAGGTGGGTATGGGGGATGAGGATTAAGGAATGCGCTTGTCTTGATGAACACAGGGTGATGTATGGAAGTACTGAATCTCTATGTTGTACACCCAAAACTGAAATAACACTGTATGTTAACTAACTGGAATTAAAATAACTTCAAATAGAAAAAAATACTTCCTTGTTTTTATTTATATGATGATGATCTTTTCCAGCCCACATGTCCCTCCAGTTTCACTCATATTTCAAAGAGCCTATTGGATATGTACACCTTTCTTCCATGTGGTCAGGGATCAGAGTTTGTTACTAAAAGGTGAGGGTGGAGAAAAGTTTTTCAGGAAGCCCAGAACAATAACGACCATCACATCTACATTACAAAGATTAAGGACAAAAATCCACTCATGTAACCTAAAAGAAAATGTCCAAAAGAATAGGACAGTGGAAGAATGATAGAAATAGTTTATGGGATCTGAAAGTTAACTTGGAAGTCCCCCATCCTCACACCCCACCCTTGCAAAACCCCTAAGACAAGTCTGGAGCCTGACTACTCTTACTGTCCCTTTCCCAAGGTCTCCCTTTCTCTCTGCACATTGGCCCATTCTCATTTTTCCAGCTCCTCCTTAGCTTCTGTTATACGTGGCTTGATCTTGCACTTTTTTTTTAAGATTTTATTTATTCATGAGAGACACAGAGAGAGAGGCAGAGACATAGGCAGAAGGAGAAGCAGACCTGAACCAAAGGCAGACGCTCAACCACTAAGCCACCTAGGTTATCTGAGTTTGCACTTTTTGATACTAACTTTTTGACACTTTCCCAGTAACTGCTCCTGCTGGTAAATGGCCAAGTACCTTTTGATACTCCCTATTTCATCTCCCCAAAAGGAAGAATCTTATTGGTGCAAATCATCTTTTTACTCTAGGCTGTAAATTGTCAGTTAGTGAACAAAGTATGGGTTGACTACCATGGTCCAAATAGCTGTGGAAAGTTTGAAGTATTTTGGGGCAAAGAGGCTTCTGAAAGACACTAGCAAAGTCTCACCTACAGAGAGATATATTTGGGCTATTTTGAGGCACCATTTTTGTGCTTCAGAAAGTGGGACCCATCCCCCCACCTTACTCTTCTTTTTTATAGGGCAAGTATAAGAGTGTCCTTGTAAATAAGAGAGAAACAGTCTGGAATATTGCACTAGCTGCTTTGGGAAGTTACTTTCCCAAGCTGGTAGCATTTGCATATCTATCATCACAGAAAATCCCTTGTTACCCCTTCTATTCATTCTCCACCGGAGTAAGGAACCACTGTTCAGACTCTCTAGCACCATAGATCAGTTTTGTCTGTTGTTCAATGTCATGTGCATAGAAAATACAATACATACTCTTTTGTGTTTTACTTTTTAAAGCTTACATAATGTTTTTGAGATTCTCCCATTATATATATTATATATATATCTCCCATTATATATATATATATCTGATATCTGATATATATATATATATATATATATATATATAGAGAGAGAGAGAGAGAGAGAGAGATGAACATTTGAGTTGTTTCCAGTTTGGGTTTATTACAAATAAAGCTAATAGGAATATTCTTATACATCTTGTTTTATAGACAAATGTTGATTGGCATTTCTCTAAGACAAAACCTTAGAATTTGAATTACTGGGTTATAGAATAGTATATGTGTAATATAAGAAACCACCAAAAAGTTTTCCCAAGCAGTTATATAATTTTCAATTTTCACTTTTGCTCTCATTTTGGTCATTTAAAATTTATAATGTTTAATTTCTAAATATTTAGGGCTTTTCTGGGCATCATATTGTTACTAATTTCTACGTTACTGTGGTCAGTGA